TGCATGCTGGGATGTTTTTCCTAGCCAATAAAATAGACCATTTCTCAGTTTTATCCGACTCAGTCTTATCTTGAAGTTAGAATGCTATATTCACTTGTCTGAACTTGCTCTTGTGTGTCAACATAAGTTCTTAGTTTGTGAACATTTTGCCATATTACTGTTGCTTTGCCTTGCATACATTGTTTCCTTGCTTTAGTTTATTTTTGCCCTGTTCTTTTCTTTTTCTTGTTATTGCTTAATGCAAACTTTGTCAATTCTGTTTGTTGAACAGTTCTGTTACTTATTTTGCATTTGACCATGGTTACTCACTCCATAAAAAGCTTTTGAACAATTAAAGTTAAAATATATAAAATGCATAAACAATTCATGAGGCTTTTGTCTAAATTTTATTAAATTATGTATCTTTCTCACTAAATCTGTTAAGTATTATTCTATTAACTGTTGAATTTTTATCTGAAAATAAAACAGAATGAAGGATTTAGGAATGTAATTTTGAGATCTTAATTGATAATGACTTCATAAACCATTTTTTGTTTATTAGACATACTATATATATATATATATATATATATATATTAAAAAATGTTTTAATGATGATTATATAAATGTATAGAGCAACATCAGAAATGGAGAAGTAATTGGCTAAGAAGTTTAAAGCTAATCAAAATTGATCTTGGGAAAAGTGATTTTATGGAAGATCAACATTTGTATGAGTAATGGTAAACTTATCTTTACAATAATTTGGCAGTTCTTTTTTGTGTTAATACTAAAAAAAAGATCCTTCAGTTTGCAATTCCTTCAAAAATTCTCACCTTTCTCCACAGGACAATGAAAAACAATGATGCCATGTTTGAGGATAGAAAGGTTATTGACAGCTTTGTACTGACAATATCACAAAACATAGGGCATAAAATCATATATAATGTAAGTGCCCAAGTATTTGAACATGAGTAAAGTGTAAGATAAATAAATTCACAAAAATGTTATCCAGGATTTCTGTCTGAATTTCTGGGATGAGGAGTTTACAGAGTAGTCATGTAGAATGAAGTGAAAATACAGGACAAGGAAGAACACTGAAGAGTTAGACGTCTAAAAGAATTAAAGCATATGGCTATAAAGGAGCTCTTTGGTAGACCTAGCATAAAAATAAATATGATACAGGAGCTACTAATAAATAAAGAAAGACAAATGACAGCAAATCTTCAACAGCGGCAGCAGCTGTAACAAAAAAAAAAAAAAAAAGCTTCAGTGAGTGCAGTCAAACATGACAAACAGCAGCAGTAGCACTCATTAGCAGGCAGGTTATGTTTAAGGCTCCAAAGAGAATCATCCTATGGGACAATAGCCTAGTGGATTAAAGCATTGGTTCATGAATTTGGTGACATAGTAATTGAGTTCAATCAATCTGGGCTGAGCAGTGTGTAATTGGATTCAGTGAAAACAGAGTGAGCAATATTAAAAATAAGAACTAGATGAGACATGAGAACAGTCTACCCCTGTAGATTAAATAAAAGGTTCAGTTCAGAATTCCCTGTATGTTACTCTGAACAATATACACTGTGATAAATATTGTGATAAATATGGAGACAATAGTCAGAAATGTAAATAGCGTAAAAGAAGGAAAACTGATTTTAAACCTTTGTTGCCTTGCACAGGAAGCAACAGTCTACAGATGAGGATTGCAAAGGTACTTCTCTACTGGCAAGAGAGTGACCACATCTTCACTTCAAGGAGGTCTGCAAAAGGGACATGAGGGCAATGGACATTGACATCAAGAGGTAGGAAGATTTTGCTTAGGCTGGAGATGTGATTTAAACCAAGGAGTGGGGAGAAAAGAAATGGTTTGGTTCATTTTGTTTTACGGCATATCAACCTCAATGGGTTATTTAACGCCGACAAAATTTTTATTGCTGGTAATGTTTTTCTTCAAAAATCTATTTTTGGGAATATTTTTCCCCAGAAGAAATCTATAACTGGTCATATTTTTTTCCAAAGAATATATAGCTGTTTGTATTGCTGGTATTTTTTTAAAAGTATTGCTGATAATAATTTTTCCTTCAAAAATTATTGCTGGTAATAATTTTTTATTATAAAGTATTTCTGGTATTAAAACCTATTTTTACAAAAGTTTTGGTGTTAACTATTTGCCCATAGCTGGGGCTCTAACAGGTGCTACCACTCAGGTCAGGGTGGACCTGGGAGTACCACCAATTAAGAGGTGGTTCCACACTTCTCAAAACCTCCTGATCAGAGGCTTTGCTGCTGGATGTAGTTTATCGTCTTACCCAGGATGCGGATGTAGTTTATCATCATACCCAGGATGGAGAAGTGTGTTCAAAAGAAAGAAAACAACATGGCAACATCAGGGGAGAGTGTCTTTGCATGCATTCATTGCAATCAAGTTTGTCACTCCTGCTTGAACTTGTGCAGCCATAACAGATACTGTACCACCATTAGCAGCTGAGGCATAACTCTTTGGTGCAGATCCATAGGGTTAGTGGTAGTGTAATTTTAGGCTTGTTTTTACAAAGATAAAAACAGGAAAAATAAATGCACACAGTACAGAAAAAGCATGATAAATTGTATGTTACTTTCATACAATTTCATTTATGTATTTGTGTGTATTAACCTGCATATATTTTTTTTTAACTTACATTTGTGTTAATGTACATGTTATAAAAGGGAGTAAGTTACTTCATAATATCACAAGTCTTATCATGGAGTGAAGCTACACGCATGTTGTCATCTTGACAGTTCTAGGACAAAAAGGTTGAATATCACATCTTTTGGTGGGATGTCTGTATTGCCAACAGGAACAGTGTTTGTTGCATGCTGGGAGTAATTTTATTATTTTATTTATTTTAAACAAGGTTTAAATATTATTATTTTATTTATAATTTTTATTATTATTATTATTTTATTTAATAGGAATAATATCTTTACAATGCCACACAAATGGTGTGAGTAGTTATCCAGGATGTTATTAATTTACACAAAGGAATAAAGAGGAGGATTTCATTGTTTAGTTTAGGCATTCTTTTCTCCTCTTATTCGACTGGCCATTTTTCTCTTAGTGGTTGGGGATTTGATAACACTGTATGTATGCTAAATAGTGGATGTCTCCCACTATACAGAAACATCACATGTACTCATAATCTATCAAAATAGACATTCTAAATTTGATACATTGCAACTATTCCAAATAAAGGCCCTTCTGACTTATTCTCTGATGAGAGAATTGTTGCTAATATCTACATTGTACTTTTAGCCAAATTCACATTAAAATGTTATTCTCTTAATCTTGGTTTTCAGACCCTATATCATCATAAGGCAGCATAGAGTAGCAGTCATTGGAGCAGTAAGTGGGAATTGGTGAGCTAAGTTCAAATTATGGCTGATGATGTTCACTTTTGTACAAATATCCTTGGAAAAGGCATGAATTCATCTCTTCTCCCTCAGCTGCATGTTAAATACCAGGTAGACTTGGCTTTCTAACCTAGGGTGGCACTCAAAAAGGAGGAAGAACTCCATTATCTCATCCAAGAAGTCATAGTATATTTAAAGATAATAAAGAAAAGGAATGTGTGGGAAGTCAGGATCACCTACAACTAAAAAAGTCACTAGATAAATTTACAGTGTGTGGCAGAAATAACTCCTGCATAATGAAAACATATTAGTGGCAATGGTGTCGTCAATTAGTTTACTATTATGTAGGAGGTATTTCTTCTGCACCTTGTGATAATGAAATACAACAGCTTACAGCAATGTGAAAACAAAGTCATTAGTGATTATGTTGTGACTGGCATGGAAACCCAGACAGCTACAGAGATCAGTAATTAGAAATGACCGACAATGATAATGATTGGTAAATAAGGAATTAAAAGAATTAGCTGCCAAATAGCTAAAATTGGTGAAACAATGTATGTATTTAGTAGCAAGAGACTCAAGCTATAAAAACTAAGATAATGATAAAGATAAGGTGACAAATGTATAGAGGCTCACCTGATTTAGATGACAGCTATGGTTTTGGGATCTCAAAGAAGACGTGTTATATGTACATAAGTTATGTGTGACTTTTTCTTTTAATCATTTCACCCCAAGCAAGGTGGGTATGCCACTACTATGCAGGGGGGGGGGAGAGGTTACAAGGGAGTGAAATGAGAGAAAAGACTGAGTATAGGAAGATTGAGGAAAAGATAGATGAATGGGATTCAAGAAGATAGAAGATAGCCATTGATATTGCAGTTAAATTTTTGAAGATTGCAGTTATCAGGGATGCAAGTGAACAGGAGGAAATTCCACAGGTGGGAAGTGCAAGAAAAGAAACCATTGGAGCAGGTATTCATTCTTGTATTAGGGTTGTACTCTATTTTTTTTTTCTGGTTTAGTCACACAGGAGTGAAATATTTCCTATAGGATATGCAGCCAATTGATATCTTTGTTTAAGAGAGAACTAAAATTTGCTACACAATAAAATTTAATTTCTTTCTGAATTTCTGTGACAAGGAGTTATTATTTACATTTGGACTATTGTCCTCATCTTTGTTGTTATTATCACAATGTTTTGGTCATTGTGCTCTCTGGCCTTTCTTCAGGTGTCTGTGAATCCAGGTAACCTTCAGGGAATTTCAAATTGATCTATTTATTTAAGCTACAGGTTTAGATTGTTCTCATTCCACAGTCTGATATCTTGTTCTTATTTAATACTGCTCGGTTATTGCTCCCCCTGTAATACAAACTTAGACTCAGTAGAAATGGTGTGAGCAAAAACTGAATGGAACTAGAGAGATTTCCTTAGACAAACAACCGAATGAAAATAATCTACTTCCATAGATTAAATAAAGGCTACAGTTTGAAATTCTCTGAAGGTTGCCAGAGTGGCAGACACTTGAAGTGAAATGTTGTGATAATAGCAACAATGAAGGCAATAGTTCCAAAGTAAATAGTTACTGATTTCTGTTTAAATTAAAAAGAAAAAAAAATGAATAATTAAATATTACCTCATTTCCTGTTGTCTCTTTGATTTGATTTTTTATAGCTTCTGCTCTTTCTGTGTTTCTGCACAGCAAATGAACTGTAGCACCTAAAAGAAAAAAAAAAAAAATTATTTTGAAAAAAACATTTTCCCCATATGAAATATTAAAAAAAATTGACAACTTTTTAATATTATACAGATATCAACAAATTAAAATTTAATATTAAAACTTTAAAACAGCATTTGTCAACCAGTGTACATGGGCAGCACACTAATGTGCCCTGAAAGGTAGCCAGGTGTGCCCCAAGTTAACAGAAGAGTAATTTATGACTTATTCTTATATTTAAAGACACCAAGTTCATGAACTGATGATGTTGGCTTATCATTACCAGAAGAGGAGCTGGTCATTATATCTGCTGATTGTGGCTTACAAATCAAGCATAAAGAGGTGTCCATTGATCAATTTGGGATTTCCATTCTAGAAAAATATCCTTCTATAGCAAGTAAAGCATTTAGTATTTTATTGCAATTTTCCATTATACCTCTGTGAATTCGCATTTTCTGCACTTACCAACATTAAATGCAAAAATAGATCAAATATTAAATACATTGAGAAAAAAATGAGATTATGTTTATCACATATAAGGCCTAACATTCAAAAAAATTGCCTAAGCACATCAAGCACAGATTTGACACAAGCTGGCTTAAATATAAAATGTAATATTCTAAAAATAAATGCTTATTTCAGGAGACTTCTTTATTATTTTTCTAATTTCAAATTTCATGACTAATTTTTCCTTATTAAAATTTTAAGAAGTGCACCCCAGGGGTTTAGTTATTTTACAAGTGTACCCTGAAGTAAGAAAGATTGAGAAACACTGCTTTAAAACAGGCTTCTTTCAGCTGATATATATATGCAAATAAAAATAGTTAAAAGTTGATAATTTGTGCCTTTAGATAAGGTTAACAAGAAAATACCAGCCTTGAAGAAACATAGATAGCATAAAAAATAGGTCAATTTTCAGCATTTTGAAACTGAAAGCAAGATTTTGACATGCTCTGATAAATTTCTGAGTAAGCTAGGCAAAATTGAAAGAAAGAAAGAAAGATAAAGGACCACTCAAGGTAGAGTGCTACTGAGCAAGATTGAAGTAGGGGGAAGGGGGGGATTAAGAAGTGCACATTATATATTGGTTGACCCTAGATTTGAAGAAACCAGGATTGTAGTTGTCAGAGAAGCAAAAAACTAACAATTCTGGAGAAGTTACTGTCTTAGAATTTACTCCTTATCAAAAGGGAATGAGCATGATTTCCTATCATGAACAGAATGACAGGTCCTAGCTGTAAAGGACTGAGCACGTAGATCTAAGGAATGTAACCCATCTGAACATTGGCCATAGTAATAAGGATAGAGTAATGAAAGGCATGCAACGTTTAATCTGTGGGGTAAGGGTTGCAAAGTGGAGAATAATCCATCACCCACAAGGTCGCATAATTAATTTTGAACTTTCAAGGATGTACAGTGAGGATGTCTGGCTGTCAGGGTGGCTGAACGTCTTAGTGTGCCAGGCTCATTGTGTTGTAGCTAATTTTTTATTTGAAATTATTCACTAAAAATTCAACAAGAAAAATGAGCTATACCAAAAAAAATTAGTGCATTAAAGGAATATTTAAAATATGAAAATATTAAATAATTATTATATCTTGTTTAACCTATTTTAATCCCAGAGAAGAAAAAAAAATGTTTTTCCTATGATTGTTAATGCTAAGGACTTTAGATAATTTCTAGTGTTTGGGGGTTAGTTATTTGCCCATAGCTGGAACCCTAACAGGTGCTACAACCCCAGGTCAAGGTGAACTGGGAACAACAGTAATTAAGAGTTGGTTCTGCGCTCCTCAGAACCTCCAATCACCTAATCAAAGACCTTGCTGCCGGATGTAGTTTATTGTCATACCCAGGACACTCATAATATGTTAAGAGAGAAATAACCAGATGCATAATTTCATCAAAATCTAGTCTAACCAAAGCCCATATCAAATATTTTTTTTATTCTTTACTATTTCTTTTAATAAACTTGATGCGAGCGTACAAATAATTTTTATGTAGCAGTTACAGTAGATTAGCACATGTTGGCATTAAAATATTGAACAATTAAGATTTTACTTAACCTTAAATCGCATGAAGTGGTCTTCTAAAAATGCTCATTTTAACAAAGAAAGCAACTGATAAAATGCCCTTTCAGAAAATATAGTCTACGTAATAAACTGTATAGAAATTGTGCATAATAATAGTAATGCACTTCTATGTACAAGTGAGAAGAATTAAAGTCCCATATACGCTGCTCAAATTATACAGTTACAAATTACACAACACTTACCTCTTTTAGCTAAATCTTCTACAATTGATTTTCCAACTCCACTACTGCCACCAGTGACCATAAAAATTCGGTCTTTCAAGTTTACTTCAAGGTCACCTGCATTAAAATGTTGGCTGGCTTTTTCATATCCACTCCTACAAATGAGAAAAAAAAAAAAAAAGATTTATCAAGTTATAGAAAAACAATTAAATAAAAATATGAATGTTATTTGTGGAAACTTATCTGGTTTTGACTTAAGTCCCATAATCAATTTTTTTTATGGTTCTGTATGTACATACTCAACAAGCAGATACTGAGCATGGCACAGAGCCAAATTTCTAGAACCTTTGTTGAGGACTTGGCTCTCTTTCAATGACTTGTAAAATCAGAATGTTCCCCATTTATATATAAATATTGGATTAAGCCAGTGTGGGCACAAGGTTGCATTTCTTGAGTGAACAGTAAAAATTCGGTTCAATTTTAGTGATTTGCACAGCCAACACTTTTTTAACCACTGCATTAAGCAGTCCCTATCAAAGTTGGTAATGGATGTTGCTACTGTTTGGCCAATAAGCAAGTTATGAAAAAGTAATTAGCCTCAGTGCTCACAGAGGCATACACTTTTCTCTGTTAGCTGCTGTAGATTGCCAGCAATGGAACATTTTTTAAAATACTTGACTGTGGGATATGGATTCAAACCTTTCCCAAAGGTCTTAATGTAAAGTGAATACAAGCAGCTAGAATTGGAATTTGAACTGTTTTTATACTGTAAACCATCAGACCTACTCACATCATGAGCCATTAACTTCTCATGAAGTAATTTCAAGGGTTTTTTAATACCACTTGAGAATTCATGATTAAAAATTAATATGCACAGATAGATGGGTATATATATATATATATATATATAAAAATAATGAAATGGACAAAGTCTAACAATTATTTTAAGACATTTTTTTTTATGTTTATACATTCCTTTTATAGATACAAATATTTAAGTAAATGCTCTGTTTATAATAAACAGTATTAACAACATTTACCGGCCTTAATGTCCAAGAAATTTTCATAGAAAATACAATTATTTTAAAAAGAACATATAAACATAAAAAAAATGTCTTAAAATAATTGTCAGACTTTGTCCATTTCATAATGTGTGACATCATTTGTTTACATTTGGATACGCATCAAGCAGATATGAATGTATGAGAAAAAAAATCATGGAGAATTGTAGCTTAAAAACAGTAAAATTGACCTTGCTAACCAAAACGCTTCTCTGTGGCTAAATCGGTAAAAGCACATCAGGCTGTATGACAGTTCTGTATAGGATACAGGTTCGATTCCTGTCGGCGGTTGCATATTTTCTATGAAAATTTCTCAGACATTCAGGCTGGTAAATGTCGTTAATACTGTTTATTATAAACAGAGCATTTACTTAAAAATGGTATCTATAAAAGGAATGTATAAACATAAAAAAATGTCTATATATATATATATATATATATATATATATATATATATATATATATATATATAATGTGTGTGTGTGTGCGAGAGGGAGATGTGATGAGAGAGAGAGTAAATTATTTATTTTTAAAAAATTCAAAAATTATTTTCAATATTTTGATAATCAATTAAAAATCTATCTCTATAAATCTTTTTTCCATTGTAATCATATTGTCAGAGAGATCATTACACTGGATAGTTTTGCTCCTATCAACTGGTAGAAATGAGTTCAGTTGGATGAAATGACATCATGAAATAATGTAGCTGTGACAGCTGGAGAACACAGACAGGATTTAATACCATTTGACCATAGAATGATTGTAGTCAGAAAGATAAAGTACAATCTCTGCTGTAGGTTTCTCTTTGGCAATTGTTATCAAGGGTATATCAGGAATATAGGTATCCTGGACTGATAGTAGCAGTATGTGAAAACTATAGGCACCTAAAATTGATGCAAGTATGTGACTGTGATTGATTTGTTTTTTTATTGGTTATCAACCTATTGGAGGCTAGTTAAAGCCAGAAGATATTTTCTGATTGTAAGAATTCTTTCGAAATAATAATTTACTGATAAAAGTCCTACTAATTAACTTGCAGCTTTGGGGGGGGGAGTGGTGGATTCATAATTTTGTAAGTTAATATGATGAACCTGACTGAAATTGGAACTTGGCTCTCTGATTTTCATTTCCAAGCCATTATACCATCTACACATCCAAGCTTACAGCACCTGGTATTCTCAAGTGGTCACCCATTTAAGTACTGACTAGGCTCGACATAGCTTAACTTTGGTGATCATACAAGAACTGATGTTTCAATGTGGTATGGCCATAAGCTGTGATGGACAAAGTTAGTAGCCATCCAATAAAAGGGAACATATTATCAAATCATATCTCAATTCAATCCTAGTGCTATTCAACCCATCAATTACTACACTGTACAGCATATACTGGTTGCTTGCTTGATTTTGTTAATAGCATATAAAACTATGGGTTATTTAATGCTGAAATCTAAATATTTTGAATGCAATTGCATGCTTCCAACTAAAATGTATTGTTGGTAACTCTACTATAAGAATATATTTTTATACTTTTGTAACATCTTGTTCTTATTTGGGGGTTCACTATTTGCTCATAGCTGGGTGCTAACATCCCAGGTCAAGGTGGACCTGGGAACAACAGCAACAGAGAGGGTTTCATATTCCTCAAAAAGATGTCTTGCTGTCAGATTGATTTATCATTGTATCCAGGACTACAGCATAAACTGATCTGTATAGTCATTGACCAATAAAGACATCATTATATGTCAGTGAACATTGCTATTTGTCTATGGAAGACTGAAGCCATGTGACTTGACCAGAAGAGTCTTATTTCATTCTGACATACAGGAGTCCATGTGTGAAGAAAAGTACATGAGATTATGGATATAGCCTATGAGTAGGGTTTTGTGCAAGTATGCATGACTGCGTGTCACTGACTGACTTGTTTGTTTAATGGGATATTGACTCCTCATTTAATGCCAAAAGTTAATTTTCTTGGGTGCTTTGAAGTAGTAAGAATATGTTATTCTGCTTTCACAATTGAATAAATGGTAGATGATACTCAGCTTTCATGTATATACATTTATATTTTGGAATACAGTTTGATTTATTTCAGAAATTGTAGGATATTATATGGATTAATGTCTCGAGTTTCATGTTCATTGTTCAGTAGTATGTTCAATAGATTTGCCTGAAGTCACTACAATTGAATATGATAGATGTTAAGAGTTTTCAAAGACCATTTGTGAATATGAGATCCATCTTGACAAGGCAACATATATAGATTTTGTTGCAAACTATTTGCACCCTTTTATGCTTGATAAGTTTCCCAGGAGTGATGGCTTGTTTCAGTAAGGTAATGCATCCTTCCATAATGCATACAAATGTTTCTAGGTGTTCCATTGGCCCCTGCACTTGCCAGATTTCAATCCCATTGATCATGTACAGGAAATGTTTCAATTTCTACATTGGAGAAATGTAACTCCAGTTATGGATAGCACAGAAATTTACCTAGATACATATAGACATTCAACAACTCCAGCATCTCAGACTTTATGTAGCTGCCATTTTTCAGACAAAAGAAGGAACCATATATTATTAGGTAACAGTCTAAGTTTTTGGCACTACAGTTTATTAATATTTCTTTGATGAAAGAAAATGAGCAAGAAATTACTAATAAAATATTAACATAACCAGACTTCTATATTTCAACCACTTAGTATAATTATTAGGACTGTTTTGGTTGCCAGTCAAAATGTTTCATAGCTTTATATTTTTTAAAGGTTTTCTTTGGTAGCCAGCAGATTTTCAGTACAGTCTGTGCACTTTCATATTTGTCATAAATCTCAACAACATTCATAAGAAACTAAATATCTATGCTGGTGTCATAACTATTACCCCTGTCTTAATGGTTAAGTTTGATCAGTTTGTTATGGGCAAAGTGGCAACTGATTTTAAAAAATGACCTACAATCTGTTACTTGGATTAGAAATTAGCTTAATTTTGATACCTCCAAAATGAAACTGCTCTCTTTTATCAGAGAATCTTTTTTAACTTGCATGGCTGATGCTAACCTCTCCTAGGCTAAAGTTTATGGTATATAGAGATAAAGTAAAGGCTAAATTTACTGTCTATAGTACCATTTATTGTTGACACTATTTAGTTACAGTGTTTAAAATGGTTGAATATCATCGTAGTTCTTTTTGTGATTTGAGAGTTCATACAGGTTTGTTGTGTTCCTTCTGGTTGACGGAAATTAATTTGTTGCATTCATCCTTTCTTCTTTCTCTTCTGGAGTTGTACATCAGGTCAAACTCACAGCTGATGAATCATCAACTCTTGCGTCTCGATCTGCTACCTCGAATTAAGTTCCTCTCCACTGCGGCGTCTTTAGTCTTGTACATGGTTTTCTTCTTTTTATTGGCGCTGACACATCTGTGTTTCCCATTTGATTTTTAGTGGGACGTGTTGTCATTGATTAATTTTTTCTTATGATGTTCACTGACCCACATAAACTAAGTCCAGGTTCATGTCCGTTACTGAGGATAGGAACAACAGAACAAAGGAAATATATAGAAGAGAGGGAGAGAGAGTTTTCTTTGTCACTCACTTAGTAAAGAGGAAAGTGTATATTTTGGTATGGTGTTATTACTATCTAATTCTACAAGTTTTCCACTGACATAAAGTGGAAACATTATATTGAAACAATTGCCATGTCTGCTGCTGGGTAATTGTTTTTTTTTTTGTCCAAATTTATCTTACACATTTATAAGTCTATCATGTGTCCATGCATTGAATATTACTATCATATCTGGTCTGGTGCTTCTATATATTTAAGGATTCTTGATAAAATACAAAAGAATCTGCAATGTTATTAGCCTTGACCTAGCATCTTTCAGTCACTTTTTCCACTGTTATAATGTAGCCTATGTGCCTTTTCTATAAATACTTACATGGTAATTGCTCTGGTGAGCCTTCTTCTTTGGTACATAGACTTTATGAATGTAAGCACATTACTAGATTGGCAGCAAGGTCTTATCATTTTACAATTGAAAGGACTAGAAGTGACCCCCTAAGTTCTATGCTAACAGTTTCTCCTCTCATACTTCTCACTTGTAGAACTCTTCTGGCTTCATGCTTTCCAGTCAAATTTCATCTTCAAAACTTTTAATGCATTATCTGTTATCAATTCCGGTTCTTTTATTGATCGCTCTCCTTAATGTTTTCTTTTTCTCATTCTTTCACACACTTTAACCCCTTGTGTCTTAGTGGCTTTATTGCCTTGCTTTGGGTGAAATGATTAAAATCTAACTTGTGATTTATCAAAAGAAATAATTTAAATAATCTTATGAAATTCAGACTAATTTCACAAGTCACTTAGAGTGATTTCCCTTTCAAAACTTCCTGAATTCAGGTTTAAAAAAAAAAAAAACAATATAATGACAAAGACAACCGAGAAAGTTATGTTTGCTTTTTTATTTTACAAGAAAGGGGAAACATTACAGTTCAAGCAATTTAAATGAATTCAGAAGTGGTTCACACTGTCATTAGAGTTTGAAAATAATTAGGGAGTTCCCTCCCTCCCTCCAAAAAAAAAAAAATAAATAAATAAATAAATAAAATAAATAAAAATAAAAAAAATAAAATTAAGCATTGTATTTTTCAGTTACCGAATGTAACACAAAGTCGAGGTTTAACACCAACGCCAATACTATGGAAAAATTGCTCAAGCCCCCTTGACACTTCCTCTTTTGGGGGACACCTCAGGTGCGTGCCGTGTAATGACCCCAGTCCCCTCCCGAGGGAGAGGTACTGCCTGGGTGTACCTTGAGCTTATTGTTTTGAAACTACCCGGCCGAAGCTAGGTAAATATAACAAAAATAGCAATTCAATAATAGAAAAATAATTGTGTAGCTGTATGTTTATATTTCCTTGTGTCACTACGGCTGATTTTCCCCAATACGGTATTGGGCCAATACGGACCGTTATGATAATAAAAAGAAAAAATATGAGAGCCCACTATGTTCTTGACAACGATTGTTAATAGTTGAGTTGTGGCTTTGAACTGTACACAACTTTGAAGTCCTTTGAATGATAAATTTTGTAAAATTGTTCCTAAGACATAATCAGCTCAATCAATTAGTCCAACTTTAAAGCCGATTGACAGACTAAAAAAGAACACTCTCCTTAAGTTAAAACTAAGGAATGTAATTGTGTGCTTATAAATCCTATTCAAATAAGTTCCTGTAGTTATATTTGTTAAGTAATAACTCGTCAGAGAATTAACATGTTCATATAGATGACTACTTTGATAAAAACGCCCACGCATTCTTCGATTATTTCGCACCTCCCCCCCAAAAAACCTGAACGATCCAATAGAACAGATATTTTGTTACAATGTTACATTTTTATTTTTTTTAAATTATCAACAATCAAACGATAAAGAAAGTTTATTTTAGAAATGAAATATAAAATATAAGTGAAGAAAAATGCAAGCAATATTGGATAAGAAGTAAGTGTCAAACAACAAAATTCATTTTTGAAGCTGGTGGGTGGATGGATGGTGATGAATAAGTTAAGTGTTCTTTTTTTTCTTTTTTTAAATGGAAAACTTTTTCGTTTAAGACGTTTGGAAAGATAAATACAAATAAATAAATACAGAAGCGATTCATTCCGAAGTTAAAAAAGAAAAATAATAATAAAAAAAATCGGCATCTTGTATTTTTTTAAATTTTAAAAATGTTTTGCCATTTTTGCACTTCAATTTTTTTAAAAACTCTTTTACGACATTTAATACTAGAGTAGACAAAGTGAAAACTATCAAAAATGGTTAATTACTTCGATCAACAGGTACCAAAAGGAAAACAAGAAAAATGTTTAATATTTTTAACATCTCAGACAATAAATAAAGAAAGAAAGACATGCATCAACAGGACAACTATTTTTTTATTTTTTATTTACCGTACGGGAAAAAATCATTAGACGTAGACTATTAGAGCGTATCACTGTATAATACAGGTTTTCTTGAACTGTAACATTCACAAAAATTATAATTTATATATTATTTTGCATAAAAATGAAAAGAAATTTATTGACCTAAGAGAAAATATAAAGACATTTATTAGTCTCAAGGTTTTGTTGCAAAACAGGGGAAATAAAATTAAAAAAAAAAATCATACTGATCATAATGATAATCATAATTTTAACTTTTTTGAAATTAAAAATGTATAATTTTTTTATTGAATTCCCTATGGTCATTTGAGTGGAAACTATATTAAATACAGAAAATGTTTTAATTCCTTGGTCAAAAAGTAGATAATGATCTGATAAATCATTTTTTTAAAATAACTTTCATTTCATTAATGAACCAAGAAAAATATCTTTATCCACTTGTTTAATTAATTTTTTTCATTGCATTATTTGACCTTGAGATAAGCTCAAGAAATTTCAATGCCAAGGACTAATTTTAATAAATGTACAATTATTTTGATTAAAAATAAAGAAAAATAGAAATACACTTGACTTAATCTGGATACATCCCAAACCGAAACCGGTTGAGTGTCTTAAGAACCGATCGCGATTTGCATGCAAAACGAGCACTGACCTAAAAATACACCTCCACTCGCAGCAATTCCAAATATGATATTGCAACAATTAAGTTTTTCAAATCTTTAAAAAAGATGCATAAATTCTGCACATTGATTATCTAATTTCAAGCAGAGTTTTTATCTTTTAGTTTTGTTCGTTGATGTGTGCGTTTTTTTCAGTGGCTCACAGGTATCTTGAGCCTGGTTTCAGAATCAGGCGTGGGTGGACGAGAAATATCAAAGACAAAAAAAAAAAAAAAATGAAAAGAAGGAAGATCGGACTTTCTGGTAAATTTTTAGCATTTAAATTACTGTCTACTTTGCTTTAAAAAGCGTGACCTTTGAAATGGAATGCGATTTAATGTGGTGTGTTAAAAACACAAGAAAAATAATGTGCTCTGTGCAGTCAGATGTGTGCACAGTTGATAGTTCATCCCATTCTCTAAAAATGGAATAAAATATAAGGAAGAATTTCAAAATGAAAAAAAAGAAAGTTTTCATTACTTACTTTGTATATTCTTTAAGTCCCTTAAGGAACCAAACGCCGTTCCTGTAAATAGACATTGCTTGGGAAAAGAAGAGAACGCAAACAATTCAGGTGTGGACAAGAGAAGAGAAAAAATGAGTAAAGAAAATAAAGACACAAGCCAAGTGATTTTGCAGAGACAAAAATCCCACTTCTGCTAGCCGAGGGTGAAGGTAGTACTACTAAAAAGTGGTCAAAGAAGCGTATATTAGCAGCAGCCGTAATGAGAAGTACGAATAGAGATAATGAATGGTAGTGCCACAACTGCACCTTTAGAGAAAAGACAAAAAAATTACACAACCCAATTTAAAAAATAAAAATAACACTCCACTGTTTAGAGTCAAGCTCGGCAGAAGAGGAGATAGGGGAAGTAAACAAGAAAAATAATAAAACAATTTTATCTCATTTAAACAAGGCTGAGGCACGTGACCTCCGCCCAGCAGTGTGGGCGAAGATTGTTGAGTGACTAAAAATTATCCCTATTACTACTACTACTACTAATAATAATAATAAGAATAATAATAATAAGAAGAATACTAATACTACATATCCACACATGCCAATACACAATATGTTATATAATCGTCCTATACTTTGTAATTATTGTTGTTTAATCACCTGAATAATGTTTATTATTTTGATTAGAAAAAAAAATGGTACCGGTGTGGGGAATATACCATCCAATTTATTTATTTTTAAGAACTGAGAAAAAAAAATATTGAAATATTTTACATTTTTTGGTTATATTTTGACAAAATCTTTTATAATAATTCCTTAATCTCCATTAAAAATCAAGTACATTTATTTTTATAAAAAAAAAAACAACAATCTCCGAACAGCAACATTTTTTTTTTTTTTATATCTGTAACGTCATTAATAGACGGGCTCTATGACGTTTTAGTCAATTTTCCGTGACGTTATACACAGCAATCTGGACAATTTTGATGACGTAATCATAAAACGGCGATCGCTTTTTGCATTTCAGCTTGCCTTGGAAAAGGGGAGGAGATTGTTTTTCAGTATAATTTTCTTTTTATAATAATTTCAGCTTCAAAATGGTAAGTTGGCGAAGTTATAATAAATTTATAAAGTATTTATCACTATCTGACAGTCTGATTTTAATTGTCGAAGTTTTTTTTTTCAAAAATAATAATAATCGTATGGTTCCACATACCTGGAGAAAATGAAATGAATGGTTGAACTCTAAAAAAAGTAAAATGAAAATGTTAAACGACGCAAGAAAATATTATAATTAAAACCAATCCACACGATCATAAAATCATGCAGATTATGATAAGGATTTTTTTCAAAATTAGTTTGGAAAATTATAATGTCTTTTTTTCTGTTGAAAAGAAATTTTCGTAAATCGTGTAAAGTGGGTGGTCCATTACATTATTTTTGTAGATGCTTTTTGTTTGCTTGTCACAGGTGTTTGTTTTTTTTTTTAAATTATATGATTTAAAAAAATAATAAATATAATCTGAAATTAATTTTTATATGTCTTTCAGAGTGAACACTTGTTTTTCAAGCGGTTTAAATTTTTAATTTCAGTAAAAATAAGTATCAAGTTATCTTGTGTAACATTTTTCAGCACTATTTAAAAAAGAAAAACAATCATCACTTCATTTTAAAAATATTTTTCCATGTTTTTTATTTTTATACACATAATCCGAAGACATAATGTCAATAATCAATTGATAATATTGATTCAATCAATCAATATTATTTTATTTTCCTGATGTCAATTCTCCCCTCCCCCCTTACACACAATATTGCACATGACATTATAAAAAATACATCATTTACTTTTTGAATTTAAAAATTTAAAATGTCAATTTTGTTTTTTTAGTAACCGGATCTTAAATATCTCGCTTAAGTTTCTTTCATAGCAGTTTTTTAATTAACCGACAACCGTTCTTATTTTTTTTTTTTTGGTTACTACAGTTTTAATGACAATGTCAAACATTTCTTACCTGTGTGTAAAAGTGTAGTCCTAAAAAATAAAATAAAAAAAAAAACAAAATAAAAAATATTTTTACATTATTGCAATCAATTATTAAAAACCAACATTTATTAAAAATACAATTTATAATTTTTTTTACATTTTAAAAATACAATTTTTGACCATTTTTTTTTTTTTTTGGAAAACTGATAAAATAAAAATAAAATGATTTTTTTTTTGTTTATCCTTATGAAATCAAATCGAATAATCCGTTAACGACGATCATAATGCAAGTTATAACTCCTTTCTTTATTAATATTAAATTAAGAACTGTTTTACAGTACACTGTTTCATCGCTCGTTTGTAAATGTCTGTCGTAAGTTGTACTGGAGACAGTCAAGAAGAGTGAGTAGGTAATCAAAGTTACTTTTGAAAACAATTATCATGAAAAACTAAAAGAAAGTTTTCTTTAAAGAAAAATAATTTAAAGATATAAAAAGAAATAAAGATGTATAAAAAAAAAATATGAGATCGGATAAAATAAAAGAAACAATCACATTCAATAAAAAATGAATGACGCCCATTTGGGACTCGTTATTTATTAATTAATCCATTTACTTCTGCCATCGACCTTGTCGTCATGTTCCAAGTACAAATCTCGTCGTAAGTGATCTTTGCCTGTGACTGTTGACAATAGAATTCATCCTAGATTTGATTCATTTTTTAAACGAATCCAAGACAAGCTTGCTTGTACTAACTTTTCTTATCACTTGTTAGTTAAACATAGTTCAATTTACGAATTTTAGAGTTCCCGCTCCGAACTAAAACACTTGTTTGAAACTGATTGTTTTTACACAGTATTTATTTTTAGTCAGATTTTGGACAGAATTTTTCAGAACATCTTGTACAGTTTAAGTAAAAAATAGGCTCTTAAAAGATCTTTCAGGTATAGGTATTTGTAGCCTTCAAAGATTTAGTTTTTTTTATATTAAATTTTGATTATTTTTTTTTTTTTAATGACATGAAAATTGTCTCTACTAAGTAGACGTGAACTTAAAATAAAATTTTTAACTTAAGAATATTTTTTATGTTCACTATAATTTGAATCTGACAATTTTTTATCAGATCTTAAGTTTTTCTTCACAAACAAAAAACCCATAGCTTGAGATGGCGGGAGAAGAAATGGATTCATGCCTTTCCTAAGGGTATTAGTGCAAAAAGTGACCGCAGCAAGATCAAACATATGGACCCAGACAAAATGTGACCAACCCCAAAGACCCTAATGGTGAAACAAGTGGATGGCAATTACAACAGAGCTCAACAGTTAAACCCACAACTGAAGAGGGCTACACATGGCAGACATGCTACAGAAGGTGCCATTCAAAATTATAACTGTGGCAGTCCATTGCATTTTCATAACTGGATTATGCATGCCTCATTCCATATGTGCCACAGAGAAAGGTCATGAAATCAAGTTGTGTGGATCTCGTCATAGTTGAGGTCCACCTTAAGCAAATTCACACCATTGGCACGTTCTTCTACTCTGATTTTCTTTTGCCTTCAACTAACTCTTGTAAAATAAGTAAAGGAGTGAATGACTTGAGCTGGTTTTGTGAAACTGAAAGCTTTGATGCTGAACCTATACATACAAATTTAGGCATCAACCCCATCATCATAAAGGAAGCAGTCAGCAAAGAAAAAAATTAAATAAATAAAGCCAATGATATATAAGCCTTTTACTTTCTTTGTTATGCTATTAAGTTCATTTACATACTCTTTCAAATTCAGTTCTCAAGCATGAGCTGTTTAAAGTTAACATCTTTCCACTCATTTTGGAAACCTTTTTCTGCATAGATATTTAATTGTAAAAATGTTGGTTTTAGATCTTAAATTTACCAAAATTAGCTAATTAGCTGGATTCTCTCTCTATTTTTTTTCTTTTTTTTTTTTTTTAAGCAAAAATGTATATTTTAAAGGGCATTTTGATTAAGAATTGGCTAGTGATATAATAACTGTCATAAAAAATTACTTTCATAACATTAATGCAGGATAAATCTTTTTAATTGTAGCATTTTCTAAAACATTTATTTAATATTATTCTCTTTGCTACCATGACTTAAGTAACAGATATTGTTTTTCCAGACATGACCATGAAATACAATATCATACTTTGTAGTGAGTGTGAATTTAGCAAATTCTACATGTGGAATGGTTTTTCTTTTTTAGTCTGTAGTTTGTAACTTTTAAAAACGGGAATACAGTTAAGAATGTCACAATTGTACTGTAGTTTTTCCTTACCAGCTTTTCTTCTACTTTTGTAATGCAAACAATTGAACAACCAAATTTATTTGTTCAATGTAGAATTAGAAGGCACATTGAATGCATTTATATCTGAACACTTTCTCCCAGTAAATACTGACACTTTAACTAATTTGTTTCAAGTAGTAATTGCAATAGTAATAGTTAATAGTAATTTAAAATATTGAAAGATTTTTATGTGTATTATTTGTATTTATTTCATTGTCATAATCATTCAATAGATTTGAATGTGTGAGTTTATAACCTTACATAAAATGCTTCTATATACATCAATGTTTTATTCAGAATTATATTTTTTTGCAACAATAAGAAAAAAAGATAGTTTTCATCAAGTTAAAAATTTTGAAAATAATTATGAAGTTAGTATTAAAAATGTTTACATTTTGATTTGTATAAAATGATTTTGCCCTATGAAAAAGATTTCTTAATTGTAAAATATTTTCAGTTTCTAAAATATTTAGATTTTAGATTTATGATTTTTTAAAGACTTAATGATTAATCTTCTAGAGAACCTTCATTTTTCTTGGACATTTTAATAAATTTGGTTACACTGATTAAATCTTCCAATACTTTGCTGTGACATCCTTTATTACAAACTTTTGTTTGAGTTTTAAAAATTGAGAAATTATTTTTGTTAGCGTACACAAATCATTTTTCAAAAATACAGTGGAATTTAAAAAAAAAAAAAGCAATTTGTTTTAATAAATAAAAAAAACATTTATTTTGGGTTTCAAGAAAAAAATTGACTTCCTGCCAGAAATTAGAATACTTTAAAAATTTTATATATATATATATATATATATATATATATATATATATATATATAAGGAGAGAAATCTATTTTGTACATCTCAATACTAGGCTAATTATATGTAAAGTTTACAAACAAGAATTTAACCATCAAGAAGAGAAAACAATGTATGTGTATTCATTGTATAAGAGAAGTAATCTATTAGGAGAAAATAAAACACCATTAATTCATCATAAAACATTTTAAAAAATGTTCTCAGAAGACAAGCTCTTAGTGCTATAACTTTTTAGTTTTTCTAGTAGTCTAAAATTATCAGCAAATTTATGATACTAGTATATGTTACATTATATTAAAAAACTAATTAGCCTTATTTTATCTGAGTGATCAGAGTGAAAAAAAAAAAAAATGAAGAAATTATGAGATACTGTTTCAGTTTTTATTACATTTTCTCATAAAATTATAAGCTTATAAGCTAATTAAATTCTTTCAAATGCCAAGCTGCTATAAAAATACCACAATTTATATAAATCCCTATTATCAATACTTACTGATATTTGTGATGAAAATAAGGTAGTAAATACTGTTACAAAATAGCAGTACTGTTATTATTGAATTGCATTTTACCATTTTAATTGCATTTTACTTTTTCTTTTCTTTTTTTTAAACCTTTCAGATGCAATTTATGTTATTATTTAGCCGTCAGGGCAAACTTCGGCTTCAAAAATGGTATGTTGCCCATCCTGATAAAGTAAAGAAGAAGATTACCCGAGAACTTGTTACACTAGTATTGGCAAGGAAACCTAAGATGTGCAGTTTCTTAGAATGGAAAGATTTAAAAATTGTATACAAAAGGTATTTTTGTTGAAATATATTTTTCCAAATGTCCCTCATAATTAATGATAATAATGAAAAAGAAGAAATATAGTAAAAATAACTTATTTTCAGACTATTTTTTTATGACATGTTGTAACTGATTAGTTCTTCAAAAAAAGGGATTCTCTTTTATACTTTTTTTCATTAAAAAAAATATTTCTATTTTTAATTAAGATATCTTGCTTTGCTTTCAATGAATATTTAACTTCTGGAATATTCTTATTGTTTATGACATTTATTATCTTAGTCAACTTCAGGGCATCCCTTACATGTTGATTATAAAGAAATGAATTATTAAAGGATGAAGTCTGTTTTAAAAATCTGTTCTCTTCAGGTTCATTCATGTTGGAAGAAACAAGCAAACAAATTCTGTCTTCCGATATAACTGATATTGTTTTTTTTTTAATATAGATATGCCAGTTTATACTTCTGTTGTGCAATTGAACCAGCAGATAACGAACTGCTTACTCTTGAAATTATACATAGATATGTGGAACTGCTTGATAAATACTTTGGAAGTGTAAGTATTGTTTTTGTTTTCTCCTTATCATCTTTATTTTGGTGTCATTTTTACAATAACAACTTATCCTTTTTCAAATTGTTTTGTTCTAATTAACATCTATTCCAATTATCATAGAGAATCAGGACTCTCTCTCATATAAACTGAAAGAAAGTAAAATTGTAACACATTGAACATGCATTTCAATTTAGTCAGGATTAAACATGCAAGTAATAAAGCTGGATTACATTAGACAATTAGATATGCACTGTTTCAAAATATCCTCTTTGGGCATTAATGCAAGCCTGTAATTTTGCATGCATAAGATTGTAGAGAAGGTGAATACCATTCTACAATTCATGAATTGCAGGGTGGTATTCACTGTCTCTACAATCTTATGCATATAACTATTCCTATATTGCATCAACAGTTTATACTTCTGTTGTGCAAAAGTTATAGTTGGCTAAACATTGCACTTTTTGATGTTTCTCTATAAATACCAAAGGCAAACAAGTTGTAACTTATGGCATCCCATATGATGATGCCAAAGGTTAGGCCTGTGTGTAATGTTGCTCCTCATCTCTACATTGTACATGCAACTGGCCATCACTGATATGAAGACAAAATCTACA